GATCAAAGCTATGTAGCCTAGCTGGAAGCTAACAGGCCAGACGGTTGCCATGACAACATGAGGTTCTCATTAGCAAGGTGGCTAATTAATAGTTTACAACTTAAAACAAAATAAAATAAATATGCACGAGTTTACATCGGGTTTTATGAACTTTTTCTATTTTTTCTAGCAACAATAACCCTGTAAAATAATTTAGTAGCTGAGAAATTAGTRTTTTTAGCAATAAGGGAATGTCGGCTCGTGCTGTTAGCTAAACTCTGTAATAAACACTGTTTATACTTCGTTATAACGCWATATCATAAGACGCGGTGGTGCCTKCGKGGCGTTATTGTTCTCAAAATGGTGGCGGGCCAGGGTGGCCCAAAGCTCCGAGCTCTTACCCGTATGTCATGCTTCTCGCAGCCCTCCTCGCAGTCCCTGACCCCGCGCCTCCTCTGCTGCTGCCGCTGGATGGTCTCGAAGGTCCGGAGCAGCTCCTCTTCCCGCAGACTGAGCGCGTGGTTCCTGGAGGCGAAGCTCTCCAGCAGCTCCAGCACTTTCACGACTTTCGTCACGAGACCCTCGACGCTTTCCTTCCCGTAGCCGTCGATGAGCTTCTCCACCTCGGCGCCGATCAGCTTGGCGATCTCGTAGACGTCGTCCACGGTGAGGGCGGAGAAGATCCTGCCGAAGCAGCCGGGCTGCTGCGCGGAGCTCCTGCCGCTGCTGCCCTCCTCCATGTCTCTCTGCTAGTCGCTGCTTCGCGTGTAAACTTTTAAACTGGCTTGTGGCTGAGCGTACCGAGGGGCTTCCTGCTCCTCCTGTTTCAGCATGTCAAGTGCTTTATGTTAACAGACGACCGAAACAGAAAGGACCTGGACAGTCCACGGCTGCAGGATCCTCCTCCTCTTCTGACCAATGTGAAACCAGAGAAACAAGCTCCAACTTGCTGCCAAGTCAAGCAGACTGATGCACCCTGCAGAGCAGGAAAACTCACTTTTATCAGTAACTGCTTAGACTACAGGGAGCAGATCTGCACACAAAACTCTGATTTTGTTGTGCCAGATAGTTTTTGGCCTCTAAAATGAGGAAGTGAATTAAATGCAACTGAAATACACACTGAATACATTAAATGCTGCACTTCCCCTTTTGCTTACATATCAGAATAACGTATAAGTTTGACACATTACAAAAAATTGTCTTTATTTAAACCCAGGGTACAATATCACAGATGTACAGGTGAATACATTAACAGGGTATGACTGGTGTGAAAATGCAACTTTCAATTTCATTTCTCAAGCAAGAAGAGGAAGTGGGTCTTGAACTTCCTTTAATGTCAAATATTACAAAGTATTGTGCTCTGAGAATAACAAGCAAAAGCAAATACGGAGAGATTTACCAGAAGCCACAAAAGTTTCGCAATTTACTAAAGAGTCGCACTATAAAACAAAAAATCTTAAAAGCTTCTAAAGCCTTTACATTTAAAAAAAATCCCCCAAACATCACAGTTACGTGAGCTGAAACATATTACAGTGACATCGCTGAACGTCATGATTCTCGCAGAGGTATCTACAAAAAGCTCGGCCCTTAGGCGTACATGTCCTCGCGGTCAGCGTTGTAAATCTCTCCCTCCTGCAGAGAGGCAAAGTTTAGGAAGTGCGAGGGCCGATGGACCTCATGGTAGAACTCCTTGGGGTTGGCCAGCTGAAGGTCGTACTTCATGTTAGGATCATGGCGCACACCTGGTAAAAATAATGTAGTGTTTTAATAAACATGTTACACYTCAGACATTAAATAAACCAATATAAAATAAAAGGTCTAAAGCTGCTGACCCATGAAGTTGTAGTTCCAGGAGACTTGGCCAGGCACCATGAAGAAGCCCAGGAAACGATCAGAGAGCAGCATCTGAACTCGTTCATAGTGGGAGGGGAGGTAACCTTTAGGGTTGTTGCCCTTGTCTGTGTTTTGACGCCCCCATTCGTACCCACTGGGTGTCAGCTTGTAGGCTGTGAGTGTGCACGAGCCAGGTGTGAAGCTGAAAAACAAGTTTCAAGTTACAAAAACAAACAATTTAAGGAAACCACCTGTTCCATTTTAAGGAAAGTCTTGAGAAAAAGAACCAAAACATACCTGCAAGTGATTATGATGGTCTTCTCTCCATCCCAGGATGGGTTATCAGCCATGATCTTCGCATGAGTTGTAACGTCCTGTGGGGACAGCTGCGGCGACTCGTTGGGCTGTGTGTGGATCCAGCCGAGGGGCTCCATTTCCTGACAATTTAAAAGGTATTTTAGACGACTTAAAAATGGTAATAGATGACTTGAAAGGACATGTCTTACTTTGAGATATTCGTGACCAGGCAGCTGGTTGGGGAGGTGGACGGTCTGATGTGTCCCCCACTGAGGAACCATGACGATGCAGCGGATCTCTTTCACCTGAGGGTTGTCTGGTGGGCTGGTGCCATACAGGTAGCCTGCAATCTGAAACATGACTAGCATTAATATGACCCGCTTTCTTTTATTACTAAATAAAAACAAAACGACGACAAGCGTACCTGAGCCCTCAGATCTGAGATGCAGATGAACTTCTTGAGGACATTTTTGGGCAGAATGTAGGTGTATCCTGTCTCCTTGATGTCGTCGGATGATACGTAGATGTGGTTGGTTCGGAGATGGAGGTTGGCAGCAGATATGGCTCTGAAAGCAGAATTAACTCATCTTCAACTGGCTCATAAAAAAACTACTTGAAAGGTTAAACTGTTTGCACGTACCGGACTCGCCACTCGGTCTTGGAGGAGAAGGTCTGCGTCTCGTAGTTGGAGGTGGTGGAAGTGATGATTTCGTCTCCGTGCTTGTTGACGGTGCGGGTCTGCGTGGCGGTGAGCTGGGACTGTTCTTTGGTCTGCTTTTCGATCTCTGCGATCTGCTGCCGCTGCTGTGACGGGGCCGAGATCTCCATACCCAGGATGATGTCACGGATCTCCGACTGGGTCAGAGAGGCCACGTTCACGCTGAACGCAGAGAAAAGAAGCTTTTGCACAAAAAGGCACGTCTATCTTTGTCTGATGACTTAAAAGAGAATACATTTTAACGGTTACTGAATCTACTGCAACTTGAAACAGCTCTTACTTGTTCTTTTTGCCATAATCAGCCAGGATGAGATCTTTGAGCGCCACTTCCACCTTGATCCACTCCTCATCGGTGAGCGTGGGCCAAATGTGATGGGGCTCAGTCACGGTGGTTTTATCAGGTTTCAGGATCACCTTTGCTCGGTCGTTGTTGACATGGAGAGCTCTGAGGATCAGGATGAGACGCGAGAAGGCCTAGAGGTACAGAACACACAACTTATTTACACAGGGGAGTGAGTTGATAGTAAGTAATTAAAAAAAAAAGGTTTGACCATATTTAAACCCCTATGGGTTTGGTTAGATGTCTGCATTTTTTAAGGAAGGGGTTAAACTTACTGTGTAAGATGAAATGGTCTTCAACCAATCATCGTAGAGGTTGAACAGAACCATCTGTGGTTCTGTCGCCTTCAGGATCAGGTCTCCAAACTTTTCCACCTTCAGACAGGCCTGGAAAGGCAGCTGCAACTCAGAGCCTTTGATCACGATGTTAGGGAAGTCGAGCAAATGGACCTAAACAGAGCCGAAACACGTTATAGCTAAACAAACATTTCTAGATTCTAAATTCTTTCAAAGATTTCAGTTCATGGAGCAGTTTGTAAGCATCCTGAAATCTCACCTCCAGAGGGTCCAGCATTCCCTTTCTGGTTACAATGATCTGTTTCGGCTGCTCCTCAACCGGGAGGGAACGAATCAGGGCAGCAACTTCTTCAGCTGTTTTCCATTTGGCCAGCTACAAAGACACAACAAACATTTTAATATGATTAAAGCAATCACATCAAATGATAAGATGTGACGGAGGCGTGTAATCTGCGTGGAAATATGATAAACGTGAGCACCTGTCCCAGACGTTTCTGTCCAGCCCACACAGACGTGTGAATGATCTTGAGGAAGAGCTGACCAGTCCTGGGGTTGAAGATGAAAATGGCTCCATTGATGGGCTTCGTGGTCAAGTTTCCTTCAAAAGTCTGTTGAAAAACATATGAAGCATCAATTTAATAAGTTGAGCTCATTTTTTAATATATTCCGAGAAATTTTTCAGTTCTAACCTTGTGGATGGTGACTCTGTACACATTGGTGTCATCCACAAACCAGATGATCTGGTTGGAGAAGAGTTCACCGTAGTTCTGTGAGGACAGGTAGGGCTCAGTGGGCTCTGACGAGTACAGCTGCAGACCTTTACGGATGCGCTCTCTAAGCACATAAAGGGCGGGGTTGGCCTTCATGATCTTGGCCATRGCCTGTTGGATCAGAGGCTTTCCTCCAGGGAACCAGTTACCATAGGCACTGAAGAAACAAATAAAAAAAATTAAAATAAGATAAAAAAAAAACATTCTAAGTTGAGGTCTACTTTTTAATAAAATCCAGACAATCTAAATCTTYACATACATCAATGTACTGAGTGAGTCAAGAGTCAGAGGACCCACTTTTATTTCAGAAAGAAAATCAAACATCAAATATCCGAGTACCCCATCAAGTAATGAGTGAGGGGGCTTATCTTTCAACATGGCCGCCATCGTGGATCAAAATAAAAGGGTGACTTTCAGTTAACAACTGTGAGTTAAACCAGTGCCGGTCATGGACAGGAACTTGGAAAGTCTGTGTGGACTATGAAGGTGGCAGAGGAGCACATGTCAAAAATCCAGTGAACGTTTCCTGTAAGCTCTTAAAATTTATTCATTGTTGACAAGTAGAAAACAAAAAAAAAAAAATCAGAAAATAGATAACTTTGTTTTTTTAGTTTTGACTGAACAAAACTGTAAAAATGAAAATGTATATTTTGGCAGAAGAACAAGAATTTGGGTAGAAAAGTATCCACACCTGTGAAGATTGTAAGCCAGGTCTATAGCGATGAGCACTCCGGTGGGGGAGGGGTAGATACTCATGTTGTCTGTGGTGTAGTCCAGGAACTTGGCTCTGGCGTAGCGCTCGATGTCRTGAGAGTCGTAGTCTCCCCATCGGAGCTGAATGTCGATCCAGTATTTCTGTGTGGTGGTGCTGTCCATCACGTCCCTGTGGGGGGAGACCAGCTTTTTATTTCACACTAAATTAACTTCCTGTTGTGCCAGACTTATGAAACTAATGTTTTGAAAGGATCCGTTCAAGATGACAGTGTTTCAGTCAAAAATGCATCAAAGTCATGCCAATATTTCTCCTACTTTGAGTCAGCAAGCAGAGATGGTCGGGAGACGTTCCACTTGTACGACGCGAAGAGGAGGATGTCTGCGCAGGATGAGTTCATCTTATACGACTTCCTGGGGTGGATGGTCTCCTTCTGCACCGTCTCAATCTCCAAAGCGTCCAGCTCCTGGTCAAACACCTGGAAACCAAAAACATACCWTTTATTCAATTTATTGGAAGAGTGACATTTACTATTACTGATACTACTACAAAAAAAACAAGACTCGAGTAAATAATCAGAACCAACCTGGCAGAGATCCATGACGATGCTCTCATGAATCTTCTGCCACAGGTGAGCCCTGAAGATCTGAATGAGGGAGATCTTCAGCGTGGGAATCTTGCCGTGCATGAAGATGCCCGTCAAGTCGAGCTGCACCTGGAAACCTACGTACACCTGGAGACGAAAAGAGACAAACGTCAGCAAAGAAAATCTCACATGCATACAAATAAAGCTTCTTATCAGCTGATATTTGGTCGTACATTGGCTCTGTTGATGGTGGGTGACCACCAGAGAGTGAAGCGACGGTTTGGGATTTGGTTGAGACCAGATCTCTGAGCGTTCGTCAGCTTCTTCCATTTCATGGACTCCTCAAAACCACTGGCCTTTTCCCTAAA